TTACCTACCTTTTATAACCTACCTTGTATTACCTACCTTGTATTGCCTACCTTGTAGTTCCTACCTTGTATTACCTACCTTTTATAACCTACCTTGTATTACCTACCTTGTATTGCCTACCTTGTAGTTCCTACCTTGTATTACCTACCTTTTATAACCTACCTTGTATTACCTACCTTGTATTGCCTACCTTGTAGTTCCTACCTTGTATTACCTACCTTTTATAACCTACCTTGTATTACCTACCTTGTATTGCCTACCTTGTAGTTCCTACCTTGTATTACCTACATTGTATTATCTACCTTATTGTACTCTCTACCTTGTTGTTATATCCTGTAGAGGGGCACTGGCAAGACATTAACGTCACATGTCGTAACTGGAACATAACGTAGCTGATGATCTTCTTCTTCTTCTGCTCGGGTCATTATACACTACACTCGACCTAGCTACTGCAGCACACAGCACCTGGTAGCAGTAGCTGATGTAGCTCTAGTACTATAGCCCTTCGCTCTGCCGCAGGAAGAAAAGGGCGGTGGAGCGAAGGGCTATAGTACTAGTACTATAGCTGATGATGAAGGCTTGATGTTGTCGCCTGTATTGCAGGAGGCGGAGAGGACTCGGGTTGAGGTAGCGCGCAGCTCGGCGACGCGGGGAGAGGGGGAGGGACCGAGCGAGGCCGTGGAGCGATACAGGAGGCTTCGCGAGCGCGTGCAGGAGATGAAGAATCTCAGCTTCCTCGCCAAGCATCACCGCAGCCGGTACGTCAACGCGATCCCCCGATCACCGGGGATTGCAGTACCTTGTTGCATAATTTGTTACTGTATTACTATATGCACTCTTGTTGTTGTGTGTGTACATTTCCTACAGGCATGCAATACCTTATCATAGTACCAACCCTGTATTACTTACCTTGAATTACCTTCCTTGTATTACTTACCTTGTGCTACCGACCTTGTATTACTTACCTTGAATTACCTTCCTTGTATTACTTACCTTGTATTGCCTACCTTGTGCTACCGACCTTGTATTACTTACCTTGAATTACCTTCCTTGTATTACTTACCTTGTATTGCCTACCTTGTGCTACCGACCTTGTATTACTTACCTTGAATTACCTTCCTTGTATTACTTACCTTGTATTGCCTACCTTGTGCTACCGACCTTGTATTACTTACCTTGAATTACCTTCCTTGTTTTTACCTACTTGCATTACCTTACCCTTGTTGTACCTATCTGTGTAGTACTTATGTTGCATTGCTATACGCTTGTATTACCTATGTTTGTATTGACTCTACATTGTATTTACCTACATTATATCGCTCAGCCGATCACGCACTCACCGATCCACGGTCACAAAACTGCTGACTCTGCTGGCCAGAGGTGTAGATGTTGGGACAAGGGACCGTTGTCAGACGTAAGACATGTTAGGACCTAATTTTGTTTTCTGAAAACTGGGCCCTGGTCACAAACTGCTGACGCCTGCTGCGGAGTGGTAGATGTTGGACCAGAGCGCCATTGTCAGTTGAAACAAAATGTCTTTGTCTGTTGTCTTAACATTAGTCTTAACTTAAGTTAATTTTTGTCGTAGACTGACCTCGATACACTGTGCACGAGAAATTCTCGATCATAAACTTTACTATTGTTTTCTCACCGGTTCTTTCTCTATTCATCGTCGGTCTGTCACTTGTTGTCTGTCACACGCAGACTGTGCTGGCTGGCAGAACACTGTGTCGTCAATGAACGGAGCAGACGCGGGAGGAACTCAAAGAACTTTGCACACAGCACAGTACCAAGGACAGCTCTCCCGCGAGGTGAGCTAGCCCGCTATAGCTTCCATCACATCCCCCCTCACAAGCCACCCCTGCTTGCTAATGGCTGGAGTTCAGGAATTTGCCTCTGTATACCATCGCCTACATCTTGACGTGATCCACATACCGTGATCAGACTTTGAGAATGAAGTCATATTGACCTTGGTCTTGGTTCTTGATCTTTATGCAAGTTTTGATACTTGATCTTGACCCTGATATGACAAGGTCATCATTCCTGACCTTGACACTTGTCGCGTTGGCAGATTGTGAGAAAACAATCAGACTCCGGTTTGGCGATAAATTTCTGAACTCAGACAATACATTCCAATATAGATTTCGCAGGAGGAGGTTAAAGCGCATATTCTTTATATGCGTGGTAAATTAAGCTTCTAATATAGAATTGTATTACAAATTGCTACTATCATTTTGCACTGCCTTACATTCCAGAGTATGTGCTGAGCACTCGTAGCCACATTCGAGCGGAAGAAGGAATAGGATCAGGAGCACAGCATGAAATCCTGTGTGCCAGCACACTGGGGTCAGAACACTTATCTATCATAATTTATCACTGGCTGCAGAGTTCTCGAATGTCTTGCCGATGCTCATTAAAACGTAAACGATTATTTCGAATCATTGGCTGTTTTTTTTTTTTTTTTTTTTTTTTTTTTTTTTTTTTTTTTTTTTTTTTTTTTTTTTGTTTTTACCTTACGAATGTGCATGAAACGGAATGTCTGTACGCTTTTACAAAAGATATTAGGAGGTGATGTCAAACAATAAGACATAGTGAAAGGTCTATTGGTGGAGTAATCAATTGATCTTTGCGACTGTAAAACATTTTATGCTTAACCGTTTTAAAATTTTCACTTGCTTCAGCATTAACGACGGCGACTTGACTAGAGTGTGGAGAGGACGTGTTAGAATGTAGAAGCCGAAAAAATTCTGGCGCAGAGCCACATGTTGAAGCAACCTCAATGAAGTACGTACATGCATTGACGTCGTGTATAGCGAGTGACGATTCTCGTGCATTCTGTCTAAAGCTGCCAAGTTCGTTCCGTGACCTAGGTTGCCTCGACTGCTAACCTTGAGAATATTGCGAACGATAACTTTAATCTGCCTCTTCTCAGCCCAGAAGAAAACTTGGCAGCATCAGTGTTGTTAAAGTATGAGTTAGGATGATTGAGTTTGCAGGGAGTGGTCCCCTGATTAAGTGTGGATTAAGCGTATATTTCCTTAATATCAACCTCCCCAATTTTTATGCATTCGCTGTTCGTCTGCGCCAACCTCATAATAGAGCGCAGAATCTGCTTCAGCTGTGATCTCATGACATTCCTGCGTGACAGGATACATACTGTAAATGTTATTAAATTATTTACCATGTATTGCCGCTTGTTTCTAGTTGTGCAAATGTTTTTATAAATGTTTACGAATGCACCAACATTGAACCTCGAGAACTTTGCTGAGCGTTAAAGGTAACGATTTGGTTAAATTGGGCCAGTATTAACCAAGCATGATAGTAATGTGTCCAAGTTTGAAGGGTGAAGAGAAGAGAGCGAGATCATCTGGCAAACGAGAGCTCTGTTAGAACTTAGAAAGCTGCATTAGAGCTGAAAGAAAGATGCGTCAGAGTCAAATCTTGCACCGAGGTTTGTCACGAAGAATTTATATTATTATAATTATTAATATATATCTTTATATATTATATATTTTTATTAAAGAACTATTATAATTCCTGCCGAGATAAATAAGCTGTATGTAAGTGACTGTATGCGTTTTGGCCAAGCTCGTTATATATAGTATATACTACTAATAGATATACTATATATATTATAGATAGGATATCAATTATTACGCAAATGCCCCTACAATTTGAACTTCGATGAAATGTCTGTATTCTAGTAGTTTAGTCTGTAGCACGAAAGATCCATTTACGAACGTTGAAGGAAACAGCCTTAAAATTCCCCCCCACCCCCCCGGCACTCTGCACATTCCTTCGTTCTCACTCACAGCAATCTGTCCGACAATACGAGCTCACGCGTGCGACGAAGACCAAAGTGACACTCAGGTGCCGCTGTAGTAGCCGCACCGGCGCTAGCTGAGGGCAGGACATGCCAGTCGGCGGCGAACTATTTCGCGCGCAGAAAGATGGCGAGCAGAGGAGCAGGCGATGCCATGAGGGATTGAGTCAGCCGGTCTGTCAGCGTTCGAGGAGCGACGGTAGGATTTATGTGCTGACTAGCGTACGCGATTACTCCGTCCGTCTGCCAACAGATCGTTGTTGATTATTATTAATCTTACTTGCATGTTAATTCATATGCATAATACATGTACGTGAAAAACTGTCTTTTTTATGGAGAAAAAATCTGATAGATGCAATAGATCGAGCCGTTTGAAATAATTAAGATTTCTTTGAGTAATACAGATACAAATGTAGGAACGTATCCACACCCTTGTTGTTGATTGCTTGCGTCTTGCAAGGTTAAACACCTTCATACGGTTTTTTGTGCGCATCATGCCAAATCACTGACTTTGGTGGCACTTTGTTGACTAAGCAGAGATTTTAGAAACCCCTAATCTAATCAGTGATTGGTTAGATCTATCTGGCAAATGCACGGTCAAGCAAGATGGTACCAGTATCCATTAAATTAAAACAATTAACTGATAGGGCATCCTAATCTATACTGTGACTGTGCTAAACAATTAAAAAAAGGTGGTGATCGTAAGGATTATGATGACTTTATTGTTTTAGAGCCATTAAATGGTTATCAACAAAAACGGAGATAAATATTTTGATTCTTTATCATTTTATTATTGAAAAGAATCGAGAGAATTGTCTGGTTACATTTAAAACTCGAAAAGTTTGTGGTGTCTGGCCATGCGTGCCGTGCTTTTTGTGGTATGCTAGTTGTGCGGGGTGGCTTGCATGCATGCCTTGTTGACATGCCGTGCTGCTTTGCGATGCGTGCTTGTGTGCATGCTGGTGCATGCTTGCGTGCGTGCTTGCGTGCTGTGCTTGGTTGCGTGCTTGTGTGCGGCTCTGCAGTGCGTGCGTGCGTGTATTCCTTTGCGTGCATGCTTGCGTGGCGTGCTTGTGTGCATGCTTGTGTGCGTGCTTGTGTTCGTGCTTGCGTGCATGCTTTGTGTGCGTGCTTGCGTGCATCCTTGCCGTGCATGCTTGCGTGCGTTGCTTGCGCGTGCATGCTTGTGTGCGTGCTTGCGTGCGTGCTTGCGTGCATGCTCTGCGTGCATGCTTGCGTGCCGTGCTGCGTGCATGCTTGCGTGTATGCTTGTGTGCTTGCTTGTGTGCTTGCTTGCGTGCATGCTTGTGTGCGTACTTGCGCGTGCTTGTGTGCGTGCTTGCGTGCATGCTTGCATGCATGCTTGTGTGCATGCTTGTGTGCGTGCTTGCTTGCATGCATGCTTGTGTGCATGCTTGCGTGCATGCTTGCGTGCTTGTATGCATGCTTGCGTGCATGCTTGCGTGCGTGCTTGCATGCATGCGTGCGTGCGTGCGTGTATGTTAAAAGTGAAAGGTGTATTCATGTCAATAGGACATGACCTTGGTGTAATTAATCGAGCTTGGTGTAATTAATCGAGCTATGCGTATATTCACCGCGTATCACATTGTAACATGTTATGCGATGTACTGTGATTGGTGCAGGATGATTGAGCTAAGCGAGGGCGTGGAGGCTATAGATGACGCTGTCGAATATAACAATCGGCTTATCACTGCAGACGAACAGAAGATCAGACAGTCGCTGATGTCAATGCAGGTACTTGCTCACAAATTCTCACACGGGTGGGGCATAAATGTGTTCGTTTAGGTGGCTGTTGTCTTTAACATGTAACTGTTAACATATGTAACCCTAACACTAACCCTAACCTAAGTCAAGCCTACCGTAATACCAACACTAACCCTAACCCAAGCCAAGCCTACCATAACACCAACACTAACCCTAACCCAAGCCTATCATAACCCTAACACTAACCTACAAATACCCTGACACTAACCCTAACACAAACTTACAAATACCCTGACACTAACCCTAACACAAACCTACAAATACCCTGACACTAACCCTAACCCAAGCCACACAGCTTGCATGTCTACACAAGTACTTGTCACAAATTCTCAAACGAGTAGCATAAATGTGTTGGTTTGGGTGGCTGTTATCCTTAACATGTAACCAGGAGCTAATAATACTTATTATTATAGTAATTACTAGGTATTAGCACTTGATGTAACTGATACATGTGATTTATTATGCACATTTTACTTTAGTAATTGGCATGTGTGCCAGTCACAGTTTTCCGCACAGGTGTGCATGTGATTCTTTGTGTCTATAATTATTCTTCCTTATTTTATTTCATTTCAGGACGGCTTCTTAAGTAAACTGAAAGGCCTCGGAAACACGGAATTGAGGAATCTACTGAACTGCTACTTTCAGAAAGTGGTAAACCTACAAGAAGCAATGCAGCTGCGGAAATGCGATATTGCTGAACTACAAGTACGATTTTACCGTAGTAGGATAAGTGAAAAATAGTTTGCTAGTGTTTATTTCTCCGTAAACCTTCAAAAGGTATGCTGGGTAAAGTGTGCTTAGGAAGTTATGAAGTGGGAATCTTCGCAGTCTGAATTCAGTCTGGGGCCACAGCAAAAGCAGATGCGATAATCCTGGAATCAAGTTGCTATAGTAACTTTGACATTTACCATTCAATATGCATTCTAGCAGGTACAGGAGGGGGAGATGATACCACACGAATTTTGTTACATATCATTTGATGTAAGTTTACAAGGATAAACTGCGCAAGAGAAAGATAGCAGTTTGTAAGAATTTAGTTGCTCAACGTTTGATGCGCGTTCTTGCATATACAGCCAAAGAAGAAAGAAAGAAGTCAATAATTTTGTTACTCAACATGTGTTCTTATGTTCTTTCTATATCTGCAGCTGCAGGAGGCAATATGGTTTCAGACAGGTTGCGTAAGATTTGATGTACGTTCTTGCAGATACGGCTACAGGAGGAAGAGAGAAGGGCGCAGGAGCTGGAGGCAGTTGTAGGGAGGAGCAGCTACACGCTAGAGAGACGCCTGACTGAGCAGGAGATGAAGTCGGAGAGAAGGGTTACTTCCCTTCTCCACCAGTTCTCGCAGATGGAAACGAGCCAGGAAGCCGCAAATGCAAAGTACGCACGCGTCGCAAGTTTTACACCGTGGCATGTTTTTTTTGGATTGCAAATTCAGTAAGAGGTATTCAGGGTGGCTGAGGTGGTCATGTGTAGATTGACATCTATACTATAATTTGGCTAATCTTGTGTGTGTGTGTGTGTGTGTGTGTGTATATTGCCTACCTTGTGCTACCGACCTTGTATTACTTACCTTGAATTACCTTCCTTGTATTACCTACCTTGTATTACCTACCTTGTAGTACCTATCTTGTAGTACTTATGTTGCATTGCTTACCTTGTATTACCTATGTTGTATTGCCTACATTGTATTACCTACATTATATCCGATCACCGATCACCGATCCAGGTCACAAACTGCTGACTCTGCTGGCAGAGGTGTAGATGTTGGACCAAGGGCTCGTTGTCAGACGTAGACATGTTAGGACTAATTTTGTTTTCTGAAAATGGGCCCCTGGTCACAAACTGCTGACCCTGCTGGGAGTGGTAGATGTTGGACCAGGGGCCCATTGTCAGAAACAAAATGTCTGTGCAAAAAAACACTGTGCACGAGAAACTCGATCATAACTTGTACTATGTTTTCATCAACGGTCTTCTCTATCACTCGGTTGTCACTTTGTTGTCACACGCAGACTGGCTGGCCTGCAGAACACTGTGTCGTCAATGAAGGAGCAGCGCGAGGAACTCAAAGAACTTCTGCACCAGCACAGACAAGGACAGCTCTCCCTCGAGGTGAGGCTACGTGCTATAGCCTTCCATCACATCCCCCCTCACAGCCACCACCTGCTTTGCTAATGGGTGGAGTTCAGGAATTTGCACTTATACCATCGTACATCTTGACGAGATCCACATACGTGATCCAGACTTTGAGAAAAGTCATATTGACCTTGGTCTTGGTCTTGATCTTTATGCAAGTTTTGATCTTGATGTTGACCCTGATATTGACAGGGTCATCATCCTGACCTTGACACTTGTCGCGTTGGCAGTGTGAGAAAACAATCAGACTCGGTTTGGGAATAAAATTCTGAACTCCAGAAATAATCCAATAAGATTTCGCAGAGGAGGTTAAAGCAAATTCTTGTATATTGGTGGTAAATTAAGCTTCTTATATAGAATTGTATTACAATTGTACTATCATTTGCACTGCCTACATTCCAGAGTGATGTGCTGAGCACTCGTAGCCAGACATTCGAGCAGGAAGAAGGAATAAGGATCAGGAGCACAGATGAAATCCTGTGTGCCAGCACACTGGGGTCAGAACACTTATCTATCTATAATCTTATCACTGTGCAGAGTTCCTCGAATCTTGCCGAGCTCATTAAAACGTAAATGATTTATTTCGAAATCATTGCTAGTTTTTACCTACGAATGTGCGTGAAACGGAATGTCTGTACGTTTACAAAAGATATAAGGAGTGATGTCAAACAAAGACATGTGAAGAGTCTATGTGGATTAATGAATTGGTTTTGCGACTGTAACATTTATTTAACCCGTTTAAAATTTCACTTGCAGCATGGACGACGGCGACTTGACTAGAGCTGTGGAGAGGACGTGGTTAGATGTAGAAGCCGAAAAAATTCTGGCGCAGAGGCAAATGTTGAATCACCTAAATGAAGTACGTAAATGCATTGACGTCGGTATAGCGAGTGACATCTCGTGCATTTGTCTAAAGCTGCAAGTTTCGTTCCGTGAACCTAAGGTTGCCTTCCACTGCTAACCTTGAGAATATTGGAACATAACTTTAATTGCCTCTTCTCAGCAGAGAAAACTTGGCAGCATCATGTGTTAAAGTATGAGTTAGGATGATTGAGTTTGCTAGGGAGTGTCCCCTATTAAGGTGTGATTAAGGTATATTTCCTTAATTCAACCTCCCCAATTTAGCATTCGCTGTTCTGGCAACTCTCATAATAGAGCGCAGAACCTGCTTCAGCTGTGATCTCATGACATTCCTGCGTGACAGGAACATATGTAACATTTATTAAATTATTTACATATGCCTGTTTCTAGTTGTGCAAATGTTTTTATAAATGTACGAATGCACCAACATTGAACCTCGAAGCAAACTTTGCTGAGGTTAAAGGTAAGATTTGGTTAAATTGGGCAGTATATACTCAAGCATGATAGTAATGTGTCCAATTTTGAAGGAGTTGAAGAGAAGAGAGGAGATCATTGCCAAAAGAGAAGCTCTGTTAGAAGAGAAAGCTGCATTAGAGCTGAAAAAGATGCGTCAGAGTCGAATCTTGCACGAGGTTTGTCACGAAGAATTAATATTATTATATTATTAATATATATCATTATATATTATATATTATTATTAATAGAACTATATAATTCCTGCCGAGATAAATAACTGTATGTAAGTGACTGTATGGTTCCTTGGCCAAGCCTTATATTATGTATATATATAATATATATATATATATATATATATATAGATATCAATAATTTACGCAAATGCCCTAAATTTGAACTTCTGAAAATGCTGTAATTCTAGTAGTTAGTCTGTAGCCGAAAGTCCATTACGAACGTTGAAGAAAAAGCCTAAATCAGCACTCTGCACATTCCTTCTTCCTCACTCACAGCAATCGTCGACAACGAGACTCACGCGTGCAGACGAAGACCAAAGTGACACTAGGTGGCAGCACCGCTGTAGTAGCGCACCGGCGCTAGCTGAGGGCAGACATGCCAGTCGGGCGGAACTATTTCGCGCGCAGAAAGATGGCGAGCAGGAGGAGCAGGCGATGCATGAGGATTGGTCAGCCGGTCTGTCAGCGTTCGAGGAGCGACGGTAGGATGATGTGCTGACTAGCGTACGCGATTACTCCGTCCGTCTGCAACAGACGTTGTTATTATTATTAAATCTTTATTGCATGTAATTCATATGCAAATACATGTACTGAAAACTGTCTTTTTTATGGAGAAAAAATCTGATAGATGCAATAGTATCGAGCCGTTGAAATAATAAGATTTCTGAGTAATACAGTACAACTGTAGGAAACGTATCCACACCCTCTGTTGTTGTTGCTTGGTCGTTCAAGTTAAACCACTTCATACGTGTTTTTTGTGCGCACATGCCAAATCACTGACTTTGTGGCACTTTGTTACTAAGCAGAATTTTAGAAACCCCTATCTAATCAGTGATTGGTTAGATCTATCTGGCAATCACGTCAGACAGATGGTACCAGTATCCATTAAATTAAAACAATTAACTGGTAGGGCATCCTAATCCTATACTGTGACTGTGCTAAAACAATAAAAAAAGGTGGTGATCGTAAGGATATGATGATTCATTGTGTTTAGAGCATAAATGGTTATCAACAAAATGGATAATCTTCCATTTATGTGAAAAGAATTCGAAGAATTGTCTGGTTACATTTAAAACTCAAGAAAAGTTTGTGTGTCTGCATGCGTGCGTGCTTTTTGTGTGTGCTAGTGTGCGTGTGTGCTTGCATGCATGCTTGTTTGCATGCGTGCATGCTTGCGTGCGTGCTTGTGTGCATGCTTGCGTGCATGCTTGCGTGCGTGCTTGCGTGCGTGCTTGCGTGCGTGCTTGTGTGCGTGCTTGCGTGCGTGCGTGCGTGTATGCTTGCGTGCATGCTTGCGTGCGTGCTTGTGTGCATGCTTGTGTGCGTGCTTGTGTTCGTGCTTGCGTGCATGCTTGTGTGCGTGCTTGCGTGCATGCTTGCGTGCATGCTTGCGTGCGTGCTTGCGTGCATGCTTGTGTGCGTGCTTGCGTGCGTGCTTGCGTGCATGCTTGCGTGCATGCTTGCGTGCGTGCTTGCGTGCATGCTTGTGTGCGTGCTTGCGTG